GGGTGGGGGGGGGGGGGGGGGGGGGGGGGGGGGGGGGGGGGGGGGGGGGGGGGGGGGGGGGGGGTAAGGATGGGTAAATGGAAACCTCTGGGCCCCCGTTTGAATGACCCGACTGACAAAAGTATAAGGAGGAAGTGAAGGGCACGTGTCTAGTCGGATAACCGATGAAATAAGAGACCGGAAGCATATGGGGAAGCCGCATTGTTTGTTCGGGTTTTATTCGGATATGGCCATGACGTTGTTCCTCCCCTTCTCCTCCGCCATCTATTATTTTCTTTATCCATTTGGCTTATCTTCGCGGAGTGTTCTAAACTACGAGAAAAATCACACCGTTCGCCCCTCCCCCCTCCAGCGCCACCACCAAACTCCACCTCCACTTGCCGAAGTCAATTATAAAAAAAATACAGAGTCGATGCCTTTTTAATTTATTTACCCATTGCAAACTCTCTATTAAATTTCAAATAAGTATAATGTATATTGCGTGGCGCAATTGTACGAACTGATAGAACTTGCGAGTCGTCATTTGACTTGCCTTGCCAATCAAACGTAACTAGATAAACTATAAAATGAAAAATCTTGGATTTATGCACAAAAGAAATATTATTAACCTATTTGTAGCTCGATCGATCATCGTTTGACAGGCAAATTAATTATTTAATATTTTCAATAGACGATACTTAACCACGAAATATTCGCTTAATATATACATAATTATAGGATATAATGGAGCAAGAAAGAACGATAATACGTGATCTTAACAAATTAATATATTTTAATTGTAAAGTCCCTGCTCACGAGTAATCAACAATGACAAATGTTAAAATACGAATTTATCTCCACATCGCGCATAATTTTCATAATATATCAGTAATTACTTAAAGTTAAAACAAATTGCACTGTCAATTTTAATAAATAATTCTTTAGACGAAACGATATATTTACATCAGACATTTAAAGATATTTATATCGTTATTTTATAAATTTAATGACAAATCAAACATCTTTCTATTCGTAGAAGTAAAATCAAACTTTTTTTCTTCTTATTTTTCTTTTTTTTTCTTTTTTTT